GAGCAACAGACCAGGTCTGTTTTTCTTTAGCCCAGGTAAGATGCTTCTGACGTTTGTTGTTCGTGTGCGGTTTGACAAGAGGAATATGACATTTGAAGCCCATGTCCAGGATCCGTCTGTTTGTGGTGGCTCTTGATGCACTGACTCCAGCCTCAGTCCACTCCGTGTGAAAGTCCCCAACACTTTTGAATGGCCTTTTCCTGACAATCCTCTCGACTGCGGTCATCCCTGCTGCTTGTGCTCCTTCTTTCTTCCACACTTTTCCCTTCCACATAACTTTCTATTAATGTGCTTTGATACAGCACTTTGGGAACATCCAACTTCTTTTGTAATTACCTTTTGAGGCTTTCCCTCCTTATGGAGGGTGTCAATGATGGTTTTCTGCACAACTGTCAGGTCAGCAGTCTTTCCCATGATTGTGATTCCTACTGAACCAGACTGAGACCATTTAAAGGCTCAGGAACCCTTTGCAGGTGTTATGGATTAATTATCTGATTAGAGTGGGACACTTTGAGCCTAGAATATTGCACCTTTTCACAATATTCTAATTTTCCGAGATTGTGGATTTGGGGTTTTCATGAGCTGTAAGTCATAATCATCACAATTATGACAAATCACGGCTTGAACTATCTTGCTTTGCATGTAACGAGTCTATCTCATATATTAGTTTCACCTTTTAAGTTGCATTACTGAAATAAAGGAACTTTTGCATGATATTCTAATTTTTCACGTTTCACCTGTATGTACGTGGGATGTGGTTAAGACTGCTAGCACAAATGTGGAAGCATTAATTTGTATCATAGCTGTAATAGTGATCTCTAGTAGACCAATATAATGTCTCAGGGCTATGACTGTCTAGAAATGTTATTCTGCAGTATTGTCTAGCATGTTTGCAGTTACCAAACATTCTTTGCATGCTTTGACCAGTTCCTATTGTATGTCTACATATTATGTAGGGCCCTTCAGTGATTTTTCATGTTGACCATCACTGGCCTAAAGCTCAGGACTCCCCCACTTTCTTGTAAAAACTTACTTCAGTTGGGCTAAGAACCCGTTTTAGCATTTTGGGGGGGAGAGCTGAACTTCTGCTCAAGTCATCAAGGCAATCCAAGCCATTTTACCTACACCAAGAGGTGGTCCGGAGGTTCTGCATCCTTCTAGAGCAGAAAGAAAACCAGTGCTCTGCTGGACACTGAAAGAAGTCATAAGACTACTCTAACTGCTGATTAGAAAAAAAAAAGGTATTTAGCAGTTTATATTTACTAAAATAATTGCATTTCCGTGTACTGTGGGAGAGTGGGCAGTGCAGTGGCTAAATGGTTAGCACTTCTGCCTGGCAGTACTAGGGTCGCTGGTTCGAATCCCAGCCACGGCTCCACCTGCCTGGAGTTTGCATGTTCTCCTTGTGCTTGCGTGGGTTTCCTCTGGGTACTCCGGTTTCCTCCCACACTCCAAAGACATGCTGGTAGGTTAATTGGATCCTGTCTAAATTGTCCCTAAAATGTGTATGTATGAATGTGAGTTAGGGACCGTCAATTGTACACCCCTTGAGGGTTAGGGACGGATGTGGATGTACATTGTATGTATGTAAAGAGCTGCATAAATTGACAGCACTATATAAGTACCTGTAATAAATAAATATGAACAGTGGGACCATGGAAGATGAACGTAGCTACCCTTTCAATAGCAAGACAAATCACAGCAGCAAAGTTGGAGGCTGCAAGCAATAGAAAGTGCTTTTTGGAGTTAAGAATACATACCTGATTGGATTTTTATTAAACCAAAGCCCAGTGTCATTTTAATGCTTATGTAAGATTTTTTTGGTACTGGGTTTAGCGCCCTGGCTGTCTAAATTGTCCCTAGTATATGTATGAATGTAGTTAGGGACCTTAGATTGTACACCCCTTGAGAATTAGGGACTGATGTGAATGTACTATATAAAAAAAAAAGTGCTGTGTAAATTGACAGCACTATATAAGTACCTGAAATAAATAATGCAGGGTTCTGGGTTTAGTAACAATTAAAAAATAAATAACTTAGGTACAGATCACCTGCTCTTGAGTTGATTGACTCACCGATTTTTCCAGAAGTCTGCACTAAGATACAAGTTAGATTTTGGGCATCCTCTGCAGCAAACATTTCAGACTGAGATACATCAAAGTGTTAATCACATCTAATGACCCTGACATTTTCCTCATTATAACCCTGCAAGTGCAGCAACTAATAACTCACTTACATTTACTTTGCACAGACACAGCGATTTCTTTAGAATAAAAAAAGTTGGAATCTGCAACAAAGTTTGTTAAAATCTTTGCAGTGTTCATAGATCACGCAGATGTTTTTTTTTTTTCTTGACAAAAGTGGAGTTACACTTTAAGTGATTAAAACGTTTCTCACATTCTATGCAATAAGGTTAAAAACAAAAAACCTCCCAGTTGCTGCTCCTACCCCACTCCCTCTATTTACACAACTCCTACATCAATCTGGCTATGTGCCCATCTACAGGTATTCCATCCTCTCGCCACTCTTACAGGCTTGGTCAAGTGCAGTGGGAGCCATTGGCTTCTGCCACTGTCAGTCAAATCCAGTGACAAGGGAGCAGGAGGTGGAGCTAAGCCACACTGTTTGCATTGATGGATGCACACACCCAAATGCCCACAGAGGAAGTGGAGGACCCCAAAAGCAGACGTTCAGGGCCAACTTGTGCAATGCCCTAGCCCAGAGCAAGTATAACATTTACTTTAGTTACAAAAAAAAAAAAAAAAAAATAGTGTATGCTGCGACCATAAATCTCTTAAAGAGGTTTTTAAAGTCCTGTCATTTTATAGGATCAGCATCATAATAAAACCAATAGTTATTCTTGGCAGTACAAGTTAGGCTATAAAACAAAATTAAAAATATTTTTTTTTTCAGTGCAGCTCACAGAAGTGCCAAATGACACTGGCGAATACCTGTTGATTGTGCCAGAAATGCAAAGATGTTCTTCGTTTTGGGGGGATTTTGTTTATGGATTTAGTTAACTTTTAGGCCTCTTTCACACATGGGGATGGGGTCGTGTGCAATTACCAACTGAAAACAACGGGAGGCTGACAGCTCTCACATGCACATAATCAGCCATAGAAGCGGACAGCTCTTGCAGCTACCCATGGCTGTGGCAGACTATTAATTTCTCATTTTCAAAAAAGGACTTTCTGCCCACATTCAATTCAAACTTAAAGTATCTCAAGCAATATTTTGGTCTGAGAAAATTTAACCACTTGCCGCCCAGCCACCGCCTACAAACGGTGGCAGGACGGCACTCGTAGGCAAAAGCACATTTTTAAAACAGCTGCCTTCAAAACAGGTAGGGGGCGCGCAAGACACGCACCCGCCCTACCTGTCCCGCGGGTGTCAGCCGACGGGTCACGGCCGGTTTTTACAGGCCATTTTCCCACGATTGACGGTGATCGCCGACACAAAGCAGGGCTGCATTGTTTACACACAGCCCTGTTCTGTGTCAGTTCTCTGACAGCTTGTGAGAAGCTGTAGAGTTTCTCTCCCCCCCCTCCAGTACACACCCCCGCCCCCTAGTAAAACACTCCCCTTACACTGCAAATTCTAAAATGTTAACCCCTTCCTCCCCAGTGACAGTACAGTTTCAGTGGTTTTTTTTTCCAATGATCACTGTATTGGTGTCACTGGGGATGTCAGTGACCCCAAGTCAGTTCCCCCCAGTGTCAAGATGGCCGCCGCAGTCCTGCCATAAGTCGCTGGTCGCCGCCCTATGTCGCTGATTGCCACCAAAAGTCGCTGATCGGCGCCATTATTAGTATAAATAAAAATTAAAAATTCCAGTATCTTTCCCGCCATTTGTAAACGCTATAACTTTCACGTAAACCAATTAATTTACACAGATTGGGAATTTTTTTTTTTTTTTAGCAAAGACATGTCGTAGAGTGCATTTTGGCAGAAATTTATGACTAAATTTGATGTTTGCATTTTTTTTTTACTGAACATGTTTTATAGCAAAAAGTCCAAAATAGTTTTTTTTCCTCAAAAATTGTCAGCCTTTTTTTTTTATAGCACAAAAACTAAAAACCGCACAGGCGATCAAATACCACCGAAAGAAAGCTAAATTTTTGGGGGAAAAAAAAAAAAAAAAAAAATTTAAATTTCATTTATGTACCGTATTGCATGACCGCGCAATTGTCCGTTAAACTAGCGCAGCGCTGTATAGCAGAAAAATGGCGTAAATTGCAGTATCTATACCATAGTTTGTAGACGCTATAACTTCCACACAAAGCAATCAATATACACTTATTGGGATTTTTTTTTTTACCAAAAACATGTAGCAGAATACATTTTGGCCTAAATTTATAACCAACTTTGAGTTTACTATATATTTTCTATAGCTGAAAGTAAAAAAATATTGTTTTTCTTCAAACTTTTTGGCCTTTTTTTGTTTATAGCATGAAAAAATAAAAAGCGCACAGGTGATCAAATTACACCGAAAGAAAGCTCTATTTGTGTGAAAAAAAGGACGTAAATTTCATTTGGGTGCAGCATTGCATGACCGCGCAATTATCAGTTGAATTAGTGCAGCGCCGAGTAGCAAAAAGAGGCCTGGTCATTAAGAGGGGTAAATCCTCAGGAGGTCAAGTGGTTAAAGCTGAACCCAGAGCAAACAGCTTATATATTTATATTATATTAGTCTTTGTATTACCTGCCAAAAGATTTGTACACCTGTCCAACCAGTTCTAAAAAAGCACTTTTAGACACAAGATTGGGGCTTATTAGCTTTCTATCATTTCATTCAGTAAGCATAGCTTTCTGCAGCAATCATGGGACAACAAAGAAGGTACGGTTTGTTAATAACAAAAACTTTATGGGGGGGGGGGGGGAAGAATGACAAATAGCTGAAAATGAATCAACCTGCTATTCACCAGCAAATGAACTACCAAAACAATGGGAAATGTAATAAGAGGGGAAAAAGTCCATAAAAACAACCCCACAATAGTAGATCAGTACGGTCTCATGCGCCCAGATGGGGGTGGAGCTCTGTTGGGAGGCGTTATTGCAATGTCTAAATAATCTCCAATATGGAACCTCTGTGACTGTAATGTGAGTGAATCCTCTGATCCCTTCCTTCCAGAAACTGTGCTTCCAATCTCCTTTATCCTAAAAACAAATACATCAATAAAATATTAGGTGCAGGTAGACCAATTAATATATTTTTTTTTTTTTACAGCATATCGCCTCATAAATATGTACAACAAGCAGAAAGGGCCAAAAATTTTAAAAGTTTATATTGTTGCTTTTTTCCTGTTACAATTTTCATTTCATTATAAGAAGCCAAAATAAATGGACACGAATACAGGTTTTGCTTTCAGTGGAAGACCAATTCCCCAATCCTCAAGGCGTCTCCTCCCATTGATCTGCATTGTCAGGCTTTCACTTGCAAAGAAGCAGCTGCCTAGTGACAAACAGACACCCCTACTCCCCCATAACGAGTTAGAGTTATCAGTACCCTGTATTGGAAAAGCCTGAACTGAATTCCTAGGGGTAACATTTTTGGCTATATGGATAGGAGTCAGGTGTTCACAAACTTGACCATCTTCAGTGTAGATCTAAAAGCTAGCCTATGGCCGGGCCATGATGACATCACTTGCAGGCACATGGGAATCACATCATCATGGCACAGTGCGGTGTTGTAAATGTACGCCAAGTCGTGCATGAACCCTGCCTGTCACAATTACTGACAGGCCAGGAGAAGGGATGACAGAAGTGACCTGCCAGCTTTATTTTCTGTCTAATTGCATTTTAAAACTTCCATATCCATACTAAATACTGTGTAGTTGAAATAGAAAACAGCTGCCAGCAATCATGAGGAATGTCAAGCTGCCTGCAAGTAGATGGAAAGATATGGGCAGGCCAATAAACATCTCTACATGTTCAGGTATATGTTATAAAATAGGAAACCTTAAAAGCACAACTCCATGAAAAAAAATATGCACCCTACACCGCAAGGGTTAAATGCTCATTTCAGGGGAAGAGAGGATCAAAAGGATAGGTTCACCTTCTAAAAAAAAAAAAAAAAGCAAATTTTTACAGGGAAAAAAAAAAAAAAAGTAATGCATTTATATATTTTATTAGGAGCCTCTAAAAAGCACAGGTGTCAAACTGGCGGCCCTCCAACTGTTGCAGAACAAAGTCCCATGAAGCCCTACAAGGCTGACAGTTACAAGCGCGACTCCCACAGGCAGAGGCATGATGGGACTTGTAGTTTTGCAATAGCCGGAGGGCTGTCAGTTTGACACCCCTGCTCTAAAGCATTGCACCTGTGATCTGCAGACCACAGGTGCAATGCAGGACTCCAGCCAACTATCAGTGCAAGCTGTCTGCTCGTACCGGCAGGTACTTACATAATGACAGGAAGACTCAATGAACTACCTAAAGAGCTCAACAGCACCATAGAAGCTCATTGAGAACTACAAGCCGACAGCAATTACTTGTAGTTCATTCACAGAATTCTGTACATTAATGCAGCGGCTGTGTGGGCAGAGCCCCACACAGCTGCTATCTCCAAAACAATGACAGCTGGTACAGGGAACTTCTTCCTGTACTGCTGTCATACAAAGGCAGCAGATCGCCAAGCGGCTGCATGAGCAGTAACATGTTACATGTCCCATTCTAAAAATTAGGTAAAACATGTAACATGTTCCAGAAGGTGAACTTATCCTTTAACCTTTGCAGTGGAGTGGGCGTCACTGCAAGGGTGGATACATTTCACTTTCATGAAGTTGGGCTTTATACAAAGAAAACTGACTGAAGGACTACCTCATGTACCATTCACAGGGAGCAAAGGATCACCGTAGTCTAGTCCTATTTCCTATAGAATAAAGAGTGCCAATGTATTACTTGCATGTCGGGTTGCATTATAGCACAAGCTCACAATCAGGTGCTTTCCCCCCTTTCTAATCTGTTACCAAGAAAGATATTTCTAATTCATACATGATGTATTATATTTTGATCATCTCTAGATTTATAAAATGTAAACATTTGTGTCACAACAGAAATCCCACATATACCTGTAGCTCGGTCGCTTGAGATCTGGATAAACAATAGCAAAGCTGAAATGTGTGCCCTTCTTCCGGGCATCTCCATAAACTTCTTTTACTAAACTGGTTAACTCTTTCAAAGTAGCATCCATCCTATTGAAAACAAAAGAAATAGGTCATCTTACGGGACACATACTTTAGGAACCAGCAGCAGTTGCATCCATAAATTATGCAAGGTTTGGGAAAAGAAGAGTTCTGATTTGATGGTGTTAGCTCCCAGATTAAACTTAACTGGCTCCTGATCACTAAATGATGTGATGTAACCTCACAGGTCTGCACAACCATTCAGTGGTTGGATCAACTGTGCATGATTGCTCACTGGTTAGTGTCTGTAGGCACCATAACACAGGTACTTGATGGCAAGCATTCCTACACTATTACCTTGCGAGGTTCAGTTTAGGACAGAGGAAGGGTTTAGTTTAATGGAAGTGCATTAAAGTGGGCCTGTACCCTGACTTGTACATTCAAGTGTTTACATATTCATTAATAAACACTTATTGAAAATGTGATAAGGCAAGGGGTGCAAAGCATTAACACCCACAAGCCTCAATGGTGGTTGAATACCAACACCACACATTGCACGCTCCGAGCACAGTGACCAAACTGTCACAGACTGCTCCTGGTCACTAGTCATGACCGAGAACCTGTAGGACAGGCTCCCAATCGAGTGATCACTCTGACATCCAATCAGTGGTCATGTGATCAGGAAGTCTAGCCACAACCGCTGCTTTAAGACCCAGTTAAACTTTTTATATCTCCTAAATGTGCATCATTTAGGACAGGGGTGGGCAACTGTGGCCCTCCAGCTATTGTAGAACTACAAGTCCCATGAGGCATTGAAAAACTGTTACAAGCATGATGGGACTTGTAGTTCAACAGCTGGAGGGCCACAGTTGCCTACTCCTGATTTAGGAGATACTTTTTTTTTTTTCTGAGAGCCAGCACATGTGTTCTGGAGGAACGGCATACCTGTGGCATTCCTTCAGAGTTCTGTGCCATGGCTCGGGGCTCATGCACGGGGGGGTGGGGGGGGGGGGGGGGGGGGGGGGGGGGCGTTATTGCAGTTCGGCCAGAGATCATGAACTCAGAAGGAAGACCCGGTGAGGATGGAAGCCTCTGCGGCGGTGACAGCACATCATTGGAGGGCTGTTTAAAGTATGTGATGCATACTAACATTATGACATCTTGCAGAGGATTTTTTATTTTTTTGTGATTTACTTGGTTTACTACCACTTTAAATGCCACAGCAAGCAGGCAGAAAGGCATGCAGCATTAGATAGTAACCCTTTTACTGCCAGCTCTGTTGTACAGACCTGGCAGCAGGGGTTTTTTTTTTTTTTTTTTTTTTTTTTTTTTTACACACATTGCCAGTCATCAAAAAATCATCACAGAGGCCTTTTGGCAAATACGAATGTAAACGCACACATCATGAGATCCTACACATGAAAACATCAATTGTGATACACATCACCACACCCGCCTGAAGGAGAACAATATTTCTAGCACCAGACCACCTTTGTAATGCTAAACTAATGACCAATAGGGGGCTTTAAATTGGTCACCTATAGAAATTATAGGGTACTGACATTTGTTGCATTTCACGGGCACACACAAATTTAAGGTTTAACATTTATATCCATTTTACTCAGTGGAACCTCAAATTTTATTATTTAATTTTCTGTATGCCTTAAAATTAACTTTAGTGAAATTTTTTTGTGACATTTTGCATTTCCTAGACTTTAATAAAAATAAATATAAATGGATGAACTGCTATTTTTTCCTCTAGGGTGTCTGCTTGCAGAAAATATACAAAATGTTTTTGGCGTTTTCTGTAATCTTCATGCCTAAAATGATTACACTTTTCTAAACTATTAAAAATTCACAACTTGTTTACTGTATAGTGAGAGTAGAATGTAAACAAATATGGGGTGCTGGTAAGCTGCAAGAAGCCTAACTTTAGAGTTTCTGCAATCCTGAAGGATGAATTACTTCACAGTACATGCAGCTAGAGAGGTGTGTTTCAAAGCTCTTTCACTGCTTAAGATTATAGAAACCCCTTAACATCTATAGCCTTGTTAGAGGTGTACTTGAAGCTAAGGAAAAAAAAAAAAAAAAAAAACTTAAAATAAAAAGAATGCATTCTCTGTAGTTTATACTGAAATGGAGAGGTCAAGTCCTACCATGTATAAATCTGCAGTTCACTGGATGGGACATTTCCTCTTGCAAACTCATCTGGCCTGTGGTGCCTCCCATTGGTTGTAGTGAACACCCTTAGAAGTAGGGGACATGTCTGAAATTAAGACATTCAACAGGTAGTAGATCAGTTATAGTAGCGTCCCAACATAGGCGACATTTAAGATAACACATTACAAGTGCCCCAGATGCTGATTTTTTACTGGTACCTGCTCTCACTTCCTGTCAGATGTGTTGCAGCAATCGGAGCTGGAAATTTGGCCACCCTCCTTCCCCTGCGGTCTTCTGAGACACTTCACAGATCCCTGAAGACTGCGGGACCATTCACAAAACAGCACGCTTCAAGCATGCGCAATAGGAATCCAGTGGCTTCACTTCCAATTTCCCTTACTGAAGATGATGGCACCTACAGTACATCCAGAAAGTATTGACAGCGCTTAACTTTTGCCACATTTTGTCATGTTACAGCCTTATTCCAAAATGGATTAAATTCATTTTTTTTTCTTCAACATTCTACAAACAATACCCCATAATGACAATGCGAAAGAAGTTAATTTTTAAATCTTTGCAATTTATTACAAATAAAATAGATGTACATAAGTATTCACAACCTTTGCTCAATACATTGTTGAAGCACCTTTAGCACCAATTACAGGCTCAAGTCATTTTGAGGAGGATGATACAAGCTTGGCACACCTATTTGTTGGGCAGTTTCTTCCATTCTTCTTTGCAGTACGTCTCAAGCTCCATCAGGTTGGAGGGGGAGCATCTGTGCACAGCCATTTTCAGATCTCTCCAGAGATGTTCAATTGGGTTCAAGTCTGGGCCACTCCAGGACATTCACAGAGTTGGCCCATAGCCACTCCTTTGCTTTGTGGGCTGTGTGCTTAGGGTCGTTGTCCTGTTGAAAGATGAACCATCGCCCCAGTCTAAGGTCCAGAGCACTCTGGAACAGGTTTTCATCAAGGATATCTCTGTACATTGCTGCATTCATCTTTCCTTCAATCCTGACTAGTCTCCCAGTTCCTGCTGCTGAAGATCACCACAGCATGATACTGCCACCACCATGCTTCACTGTAAGGATGGTATTGGCCAGGTGGTGAGCGGTGCCTGGTTTCCTCCAGACATGACGTTTGGCATTCAGGCCAAAGCGTTCAATCTTTGTTTCATCAGACCAGAGAGTTTTGTTTCTCATGGTCAGAGTCACTCAGGTGCCTTTGGGCAAACTCCAGGCGAACTACCATTTGCCTTTTACTGAGGAGTGGCTTCCATTTGACCACTCTACCATAAAGGCCTGATTGGTGGAGTGCTGCAGAGATGGTTGTTCTTCTGGAAGGTTCTCTCCACAGAAAAATGCTGGAGCTCTTTCAGAGTGACCATCGGGTGCTCGTTTACCTCCCTGGCTAAGGCCCTTCTCCCTCGATCGCTCATTTTGGCCGAGCAGCCTGCTCTAGGAAGATTCCTGGTGGTTCCAAACGTCTTCCATTTATGGATGATGGAGGCCACTGTGCTCATTGGGACCTTCAATGCTGCAGAAAATTTTCTATACCTTTCCCCAGATCTGTGCCTTGATACAATCCTGTCTCGGAGGTCTACGGACAATTCCTTGGACTTCATGACTTGGTTTGTGCTCTGACATGCACTGTAACTGTGGGACCTTTATATAGACAGGTTTATGCCTTTCCTAATCATGTCCAATCAACTGAATTTCCCACAGGTGGACTCCAATCAAGTTGTTGAAACATCTCAAGGATGATCAGTGGGAACACAGAATGCACTAGAGCTCAACTCTGAGTGCCATGGCAAAGGCTGTGAATACTTATGTACATGTGTTTTTTTTTCATTTTATTTTTATAAATTGCAAAGATTTCAAAACAAACTTCTTTCATGTTGTCATTATGGGGTATTGTTTGTAGAATATTGCGGGAAAATGAATTTAATCCTTTTTGGAATAAGGCTGTAACATAACAAAATGTGGCAAAAGTTAAGCACTGCGAATACTTTCTGGATGCACTGTACATCCAAAATCGATTGAAGATGTTGCTGGATCCCTGGACAGGTAAAGTGTCCTTATATAAGCAGGCACAGTATTTGTAGCTAGTGACTTACATTTTTTGGGGTAGAACGGAGCTCTGCTTTAAGCACCTGAGGAGTCCATGCAGACACTCTGCAGGATCTCAGCCAGGCCCCCTATACCAGCACCATGTCTGCACATGTGCTGATGTCCATTAACCCTTCAAGTCTGGACACTTACCCAGTTCCGGTCCAGGCCAATTTTCAGTGCTATCACACTTTGAATGACAATTGCACAGTCATGCAACATTGTACCCATATGAATTAAGCATTTTTTGGAGACAGATAAAACTTTTTTTGGTGGTATTTATTCACCACTGGGATTTTTATTTATTTGCTATATAAATGAAAGTCCAAAAATGTTGAAAAAAAAAAAGTTTTTCTTATAACATTTTGCAAATAAATAATCTTTCTTCATAAATCTTGGCCAAAATGTATTCGGTTACCTTTTTTAGTAAAATATATAACCCAAATTAGTTTATAAAATTATAATTTTTAAACATTGTTTTATTTTTATATTTATTTTTTTACATACTGTCACCCTAGCAGTACAGTGTCACCACGGTGACACTGTACTACTTGTGGGGGGTGATGATTTTTTTTTTTTCTACACGGATTGCTTTTACACCCATAAAGGCTGTAAAAGCAATCATTTCTCATTCTCTCTGGCTATATTCTTGCAGCCATTGAGAACTACTGTGTGAGCTGTGATTGGTCACAGCTTGTCACAGGGTACAAGACTGTTGTGAATAGCCTTGTACCATGTGATCATTCAGATCTCACATGTAGTAAGCAATGTCAGAAGTGACATCTTGCTTACTACAATTCATGTGATCACAGATTGGCCAATCAGTGATCACATGAATCGGGACCTCACACAGAGGTCCTGTACAGCAATCGGTGTACCACCAGATCGTGGTGCCGCGTGCTTCCAGGGAGCGCACACAGCTTGAAAATACGGGCGCTGTTTATAAACGGCAACCCGCTCCTGCACTGCTCCCGTCTGGCCGTTTATGTACATGGGTCGGGTGGGAAGTGGTTAAAGATGGTAGCTCTGGGGAAAAAAAAAAACAAAAGCCAGCTATAGTCAAAGTTTGCCTCAAGACAATACAGAACTCCATTGTGCCTTTACTTATTTTTGTTCTGAGAGAGAGGGACACATTTAAAGGGTTTTTTTTTTTGGGGGGAGGGGGGTGGTATTTTTGGCAATGTTTGGCAGGGTGAGGCCCCTCTTCCAGTGAGAGGTGTATTATCAGTACTAGGGTCGTTGGTTCAAATCCCAGCCATGGCACCACCTGCCTGGAGTTTGCATGTTCTCCCTGTGCCTGCGTGGGTTTACTCCCACATTGCAAAGACATGCTGGTAGGTTAATTGGCTCCTGTCTAAATTGTCCCTAATATGTGTATATATGAATGTGAGTTAGGGACCTTAGATTGTACGCCCCCTGAGGGTTAGGGACTGATGTGAATGTACAATATATATGTAAAGCGCTGCGTAAATTGATGGCGCTATATAAGTACCTGAAATAAATGATGGCTGTGATGGTTATCAATGCTCTGTACACGTCTATGTAGAATGACCAGCTGCTCTCCAACACCTCCCCTCCCCAAAAGAAGGATCACCATGACTGGTCATATAGTGAATGAGGCCCCGCCATGGAACCCACCATACACGGCCCCCGTGTCCGGCCCCCGCCCGGGCCTCAGTACCCAACCCCCCTCTTCCTCACCTTCTCCCGGTCTATCGGCTTCTCCGGTTCTTTTTTTATCTCCTCCTGCGTCACCCGGGACTCCACCGCCATCTTCTCCAGTTTCTAAACTAAACAGAGGCCACCCGGTCCAGAAACCCGTCCACACCGACCCGCTTCCGGCGGCTTCCCTCTACGATTGCACGTTCCGCGCCTTGCTAGCACAACGCTTTACGTCTGACCGCGTGGGGCGTGAGACGTTGCTAATTGATCCTGTTAGGTCGGGGCCGATGCGCATGCGTGTTAGCGAGGCGTTTCTGTGCGTAGCTGATGTGGGTTGTGGTGAAAGCTTAGTACTGCAACCTTAGTGTGTGGGAAGGCCAGGAGACGGACGTTGTGTTCCTCACACTCATCTGTTCTATAGTATGCACACAGTCCTCAGCCCTGTGCCAGGCTCCTATACATCATGTCACAGTGATTCTAAAGGACGTTTAACAATAATAAACATGTCTGCACCTGCTGTGTGTTATGGCTTTGCACAGAGTACCCCTGATCCTCCTCTTTTGAGGTCCCCCAACAGTGTTCCCGACTCCTCCCCCGCTTGTTATGGGGCACTTGTGCTGTGTGCGTCCATTGGCCCCAATGTCTCCCCCACCCCCCTGCTCCTTATCGCTTCTAGCTTCATCATTCAAAGGAGATTGAGGAACAGAGTTTCCTTCTTTCCACTCTCCATCCTAAAGCTGGTTGATGTGTTCCCAGACTCCCGGGGATAGTGTGGGATCCTGGGAAATATGCGGGGGAAGGGAGACAAGTAATAATAAAGTGATATCAAATCTTTATTAATTTTAAGATAACAAACATGTCATGCTTACCTGCTCTGAGCAATGGTTTTGCAGAGCAGCCCCGATTCTCATCTTCTGGGGTCCCCCGCTGGCGCTTCTGGAACCCCTCCCTTCCGAGTACCCCCCTAGCAAGCTGCTAAGAGGGGGTAATCTTCTGGGGTCACTCCTGAGTCCTGCTGCCTTTGTCCACTTACCCCTGGTTCACATATCCGCGTTCCTGCGGGCCACGTTTTGCGCGAGCGCGAGAGCCCATTCATTTGAATGGACTCCTGTGCCCCAGGACACACAGGGGAAGAAGTCCCTGCACTTCTGAAAACACAGCCCACATGGGAACCTCGGTTTCCAGTACGGTTGCAATTTCCAGTGCAGGCGGCCTGCCATTAGAATTAATGGCACCCCCCTCGGGTCCGCATTCTTCTGTGTGGGTGGTGCATATGCATGGATTTTTGGGCGGATCTGCTGCAGCACCACCCGCACATATGTGAACCTAGCCTAACACAGCAGGGCTTTGCCAGCCCCCCACTCCCTCATCATAGGATTTGATTGACAGCAGCAGGATCAGTCTGTCCTGTGAGTGTGGAGCCACACATGTGCAGTGCTGATTGAAGTCGTTTGTGCAGTGCTAATTAACAAAGTTGTTTTTCAATGGTTCAGGTCAGGTTTACGTCAGGATTTTATCTTATTCACAACTGATGACATGTGCAATGCAGAAGCTGTTCCCATAGAAGTCAATGAGCCTGAATTCACACCTGAGCCAGACCACACTGCTCAGAAAATTGACAGGATTCTTCTTCAACTCACACTGAATCTGCACTCCAGTTGCACCACATATACACTATATTGCCCCTCCAAATCAAGCACCTAGGCATGCAGACTGCTTCTACAAACATTTGTGAAAGAATGGGTCGCTCTCAGGAGCTCAATGAATTCAAGCGTGGTACCGTGATAGGTTGCCACCTGTGCAATAAGTCCATCTGTGAAGATTCCTTGCTACTAAATATTCCACGTTCAACTGTTAGTGGTATTATAACAAAGTGGAAGCAACTGGGAACAACAGCAATTCAGACACAAAGTAGTAGGCCACATAAAATGACAACGCAGGGTCAGCGCATGCTGAAGCGCAGAAGTCGCCAACTGTCTGCAGGGTCAATAGCTAAAGACCTCCAAACTTTGTGTGGCCCTCAGGTTAGCACAACAACAGTGCAGAGAGAGCTTCATGGAATGGGTTTCCATGGCTGAGCAGTTGCATCAAAGCCTTATATCACCAAGTGCAATGCACCAATTACAGCCTCAAGTCCTTTTGAGGAGGATGCTACAAGCTTGGCACACCTATTTTTGGGCAATTTCTCCCATTCTTCTTTGCAGTACCTCTCAAGCTCCATCAGGTTGGATGGGGAGCGTTGGTGCACAGACATTTTCAGATCTCTCCAGAGATGTTCAAGTCTGGGCTCTGTCCGGGCTACTCCAGGACATTCACAGAGTTGGCCTATAGCTGCTCCTTTGTTATGTGGGCTGTGTGCTTAGGGTCGTTGTCCTGTTGAAAGATGAATCGTCGCCCCAGTCTAAGGTCCAGAGTGCTCTGGAACAGGTTTTCGTCAAGGATGTCTCTGTATATTGCCGCATTCATCTTTCCTTCAATCCTGACTAGTCTTCCAGTTCCTGCCGCTGAAAAACATCCCCACAGCATGATGCTGCCACCCCCATGCTTCACTGTAGGGATGGTATTGGCCAGGTGGTGAGCTGTGCCTGGTTTCCTTCAGACATGTCCAATCAACTGAATTTCCCACAGGTGGACGCCAATCAAGTTGTGAAAACATCTCAAGGATGATCAGTGGGAACAGGATGCACCAGAGCTCAATTTTGAGTGTCATGGCAAAGGCTGTGAATACTTATGTACATGTGTTTTGTTTTTGTTTTTTTAATAAATTGCAAAGATTTCAAAACGAACTTCTTTCACATTGGAATAAGGCTGTAACAACAAAATGTGGCAAAAGGTAGGCGCTGTGAATACATTCTGGATGCACTGTATATATTCTTTAACTGCTGTACTGTACAGCAATAGAGCTAATAGGACTGTTTCTCTCCCCATAAGCCCACACTCTTCATGTTAGGATTGGGGTAGCGACAAGCGGAAGAGTAGGTACTCCATTTGAATCATCAGGTGGACACCCTCGTTCTTTGGCTTTGTGTTGTTGAGTCCACAGGACTAGCAAGACACTGCTGTTTGGGGCTGGGAACTGAGATACTCCTAGTTTTGAATGAAGTGAAAATACAGAACAGTGTTGCTGAGAGTTAAATGCCAAAAGGAGGTAGTCAGACAATAAAAGAGGTCAAAGCAAATCTATCAGAAACAGAATGATAGTGTGCAAAGATAGACTGAGCAGATATTAACAATTGTGTCACAAGTGGGTGGTAAGGGTTTACCTTGAGGGGCAACCTGAGAGTGCCTGGTCTTTGCCAGAGTTCCTAATGGCATAGATAGAATTATACAGCTTGCACTCCCAGGCAGCGCCTCTCACTTGTGACTCAAAAGAAACAGAGAAACCTTGAAGTTTCAATCCTTATAGTAAATCAACACTGTTGATGTTAAGACTGGTGTGATGAAAAGAGGAAAGGTAGGTACATCATTGGGGTCATAAGGTGGGCATTCTCTTTCATTGATGTTTTGTTAATGAACCCACTACAACTCAGAAGGGCTCAGTGGTGATACCTAGCATCCCAGGCACACCCCTCTCAGTTCCAAGTTGTTACAATTGCTTGCTGTCCTTAAGCTTATCACCATACGATCGATCCAAGCGTTTCAGTGGCATTTCTAAAACAGTTGGGACAGGTGTGCTGTCAATTTTGAATCTTTGTTCCATAACCTGATAATGGAGTTACTTCTGCACTTACTGGGTTTGATTTTTCATCCTCACCCATGTGATGTTTTAAAGAACCTTTTCCAGAAGTCCCTTGCTGCACGGAACAGTTATCATTAGTGTTGTTATATCATCCATATTGGTAATACCCACTGATCAAATTGTAGTTATTCTCCTCCCACCATCCATTTTGACTGAGGCTTTAAAAACAGGTTCCATTGCCATACAGAAAGCCAATAGGAAGATGGTGCAACTTAGCATATCATCAACCTCCAATAGTTGCCAAGCTGTAGTAAAGTCTAATGCTATGAGAAAAAACGTGTACGTTCTCAAAAGTGGTGTTTTATCAGATTTACTATTTGTACAGGCACCTGAATGAATTTAAAAGCAGTCCACAGTAGGGAATACAGAATGAGGAAAGTTTGGATTTGATGCCATAAAATGTTGGCATGTCCTAGGCACAAGGCTAGCCTTGTGGATTGACATATCAATGAAATGATTTTGTTTCAAAACAAATGAAAATATTTTGATTTTAAAATATAATTTAATTTCACAATTGATGCAACTTTGTTTGTTGTAAACATTTTGAAAATCAATAAAAAGTAAATTATAAAAAAAAATAAAATTTAAGGATGAGGTTACCTGAGCTAAACAAATCCAAATAGTCCTCCACTAAAAATGTTTTCTTTCATGATATACTTACCTATTTTGTCACCAGAAGTTGTCAAGTATTGTCCTTAAGGAGCAAAAATATAAGATGCACCCAGCATCTATAAGATGTTCCCAGCCCGTGACCATTAGTTTTGCCCTCCTGGAAACTAATTCATATAAGTACCATACTCATAGACAGAAATAAAGTCCTTAATGGTGTAAGCTGTCTTGATGCAAAATGATAATACATGTAATAAACAATCAAGGAAAAGCAAGCAGGCAAGTGTTGGAACAGGGAGACACATATCTATAAGAAAGGCCAGGTCTAGGAGAAGAGTGACAATCAAATATGCAGGACAGTAAGGCTACGTTCAGACTAGCGTTGTGTGCAGGCAGCAGAGAGGTGTTTGGGAAGCGTATTTAACGCTTCCCAAACGCCTCTGCCAATTCTGCACATTACAGCACATGGTGCTGTTCTAACGGGAGCGTTTGCGTCGCGCGTTGCGGCAAAACGGACGCCTCTGGTCGAGTCAGGAGGCTTTGAAGCCTCCTATTCTTGTATATGGTGCCGCTCCGCAAACGCTCGGCTGGGTTTGCGGTTGCGACACGGTTGCGGGGCGTTTGCGGAGCGGTAACACCACTTAAACTGCATTATAGGCATTTGTGGGGCGTTATTAACGGCAAACGCCTAACAACCACCGCTAAACCGCGCATGCGGCATTGCGGCGTTTGCGGAGCATTAAAAAAACGCTCCCCAAACGCCGGACCAACGCTTGCCAAACGCTATTGGGGCGTTTGGCAAGCGTTGGTAAAACAGCCAAGTGTGAACGAGCCCTTAAAGCCCCAAAAAGAATTACAAGGAGCTTTAAAGCTTAGGTGGTGTGCCTGCATGCTTCAAACATTACCTCTTTGAATTCTCAGTTTAAGACACTAGATGGCACTGATGTGTGCCTAAAGAGGGCACCCCACTGATTTGCAAATGAGAGCTGTTGTACTCAGGTTGCAGCACATTTCAAGAAACTGGCAGCGCTCCTTTCTGGATTTTTATGGTTTGCGCTACTGTTGGGTGCCCACTGAGGGAAGCCTTGGTTCATCCCTTGTGTCATATCATTGCTCTTGAGGGCTTCAGAGCCCTATGAGGTCCCTGCACAGACCCAGTGAATGACCCTACCAATTCTTCCTGACACTCACTTTCATACCTGATAACACTGCTCCTGGTGCTGGCTGGTGATCAGAACACTGGTTCTGGTTGACACTCATACCTGATGACACTGCTCTTGGTGCTGGCTGGTGATCAGGACACTGGTTCTGGTTGACACTCATACCTGATGACACTGCTCTTGGTGCTGGCTGGTGATCAGAACACTGGTTCTGGTTGACACTCATACCTGATAACACTGCTCCTGGTGCTGGCTGGTGATCAGGACACTGGTTCTGGTTGACACTCTTACCTAATGACACTGGTATGGTGTTGGCTGGCAATCAGGATGTTAAGTTCTCCCTTTCCTCTCACAGCTGATCTGTATCTAAATGGTATAGGGAGAGCTGGCAGCAAAACACAGCAATTTCTTACATTTTGTGATGCTGTGATTGGTCACAGTGATAACGTGGTACAGAGCCTATTTCATTGGTTCTGTACATTCACTGTCCAGTGCTCAAAGCGTCAGACAGGAAGTAAGGGAAATTCTGCAACAAGGACACAGCAGAAAAAATCTGACCCCAGTGATGCTGCCTACCTCATACAAGTGCTCCCTCCCTTTCCATCTATTTGACACCAGAGAAAATGTCATCCCAAGGCTTTGGAAATCAACAAACATGTCTGGCAAGAAAGACTGGTTTCGACGTATAGGCTATGCAACAGATATGGAGGATCTGATCCATTTTAGCAATAATAATATGATTCCTCTACAATCATGTAGTGTAGACAATATTCAAACCTACTGACACATACACTACATTGCCAAAAGTATTGGGACACCCCTCCAAATCATTGGATTCAGGTGCTCCAATCACATCCATGGCCACAGGTGTATACAATCAAGCACCTAGGCATGCAGACTGCTTCTACAAACATTTGGGAAAGAATGGGTCACTCTCAGGAGCTCAGTGAGTCCAAGCGTGGGTACAGTGGTAGGTTGCCATCTGTGCAATAAGTCCATCCGTGAAATTTCCTTGCTACTAAATATTCCACAGTCAACTGTTAGTGGTATCCAAGCCTTACATCACCAAGTGCAATGCAAAACGTCGGATGCAGTGGTGTAAAGCATGCCACCACTGGACTCTAGAGCAGTGGAGACGTGTTCTCTGGAGTGACAAATCACGCTTCTCTGTCTGGCAATCTGATGGATGTGTCTAGGATTGGAGGTTGCAAGGAGAACTGTACTTGCCTGACTGCCTTGTGCCAAGTATAAAGTTTGGTGGAGGGGGGATTATTGTGTGGAGTTGTTTTTCATGGGTTGGGCTTGGCTCCTTAGTTCCAGTGAAGGGAACTCTTAAGTCGTCAGCATACCAAGATATTTTGGACAATTTGATGCTCCCAACTTTGTGGCAACAGTTTGGGGATGGCCCCTTCCTGTTCCAACATGACTGGGCACCAGTGCACAATGCAAGGTCCATAAAGACAGGGATGAGCGAGTTTGGGGTGGAGGAACTTGAAAGGCCTGCAACCTGATAGAACACCTTTTGGAAGAATTAGAGCGGAGACTGTGCA